TGATCTGCAAGGCATTTTTCGCCAAAGCGGCTTCGACCCATCTCCATTGGTTCCTCGGGAGTCTGCCTTCTTCGTTGCTCTCATCCATAACGCCAATAACCTTTCGGTCCTTAGCTATCTCCACAAAGGATCGAGTCCAGGCACCTTGCGTCTTGGCCCTTTTCGGTGCCAGTGCCGGGGCTTCCTCCACGGATCTCTGACGCTTTGCAGCATCAGTCTTCCCGTATAAGTTAAGGTCGAAGTCCGGGATAATCTTCTTAGCCCACTCTCTGTCTTCTTGTACCTTCACGAAGTCCTCCTCTGAGACCTGATCCTCCCTAATCGGTGAGGTGGCCTGGCGGCCGAGGATTCGAGACGCGGTACGTCGAACTTGGTGGGTTGCCTTCGCAGGGTCAGTTCGGATGAAGTCCTTAACCCTATTGCAGGTCACCGTGTTCCTGGGTCCACCCCCAGTGGGCTGGCCAGACGCTGTTCGCTGAGTGACAAGCCCACTGTAGGACAACTGCTTTAAGAGTTCTACCTTCATTGTCAATCCGTTGTCCTCGTATGCATTTGACAGGGCATCCCATGCTTCCTTCGCTGTAGCAACAGATCCTCTGAGGCCAAAGCTACTCGGATCGATCATCAGCATTATTTCGGACAAGGCACGCTCGCTAATGTCATGGTCTTTTTCCGAAAGTACACCGGCCGAGACCGCGTTCCAGCAACCTTTGATAACGAGGCAAGATTTGGCTAACATTTTCCAGGTATCGAAATTTTTGCGGCCGCGTAGTCTTTCAACCGGGCAAATTGCATAAGTCGATGACGGAATCATTTTTACAAGGAATGAAACCGAAACCCAAACCGAAACCGTAACCGTTTAAAACCGTTCCGTTTTTCAAAACCGAAACCGAAACCGTAACCGTTATCTTGACCTGAAAAGGAACGATACCGAAACCATTTCAATCACAGGTTTCAATCGGTTTCCAGAAATTTACAAAAATAATAAATAAAAATTTCTTTGAAATAAATGATTTATTTAACCAAAATCAGCAACATTTTGCTAAAATTCTTGTTAAGTAGTAAATAAGTATGGCAAGGTAACTTTTCGCAAAAATCTGCTGATGACTTTGTTGTTGTGAATCGATAATCGATTAATTATATTTAAGTAGTTTCTTTCCCGTACGCAATGCGAGATCCCGCGTGTGCCCAAAATAGCCCAGAAATCATGCCTGTACTCAACAAAATGGGTAATAGAGAGCGAAAATTCGAGCGTATTCGATCGTAAGTGTATTCTTCTTCCTGCCCGAAATAGCCCGAAATTTTCTCCGAATAAAAATGGATAAAGTGTCAAAGTGCATATCAGCTGTATTGTGTTTACATGTTGCCTGCATTTACTTGGTGCTTTTAAGGAAAAGTGAATGGCCTGTTGATGTATTTTCAATCTATGTACTTAAAATCAAATTTGTGAAACCAAAATTCAATTTCCAAGTGTTTGCATTTAATACCATGTTCTGACCGACAACCAAAACATTTTTCCTTCATTTTCTTTTCATTTACAACCTTTAACTTTCATTCTTATTTAGCTTTGGCCCGGCAATTAACAATAAATCCGAAATGGCGTATTAAAGATGATAAAATATGACTTCCACTTCGATAAATAATCGAAAAAAAAAAGTTTTAGCAACGAAAACATGTTTCCGATGTCGGTCAGAACATGGTATAAGTGACAAAAACAAGAACAACGTGAATCAGCTGTTTCTCCACTTGTGGGCACGAAATGTGGGTTTTTGCGTTTCCGTACTTCTGAACTTTGTTCCATTTTTGAAAGAAAATGTTTCTCTTATTCTCTAATTACCAAATCAGGTCCGGATTGATAGGGAAAGAACCTAGTGTTGATATTATCAGTGAATTGTAATTTTCGATTTTCTTTCCTCAACGTTTAAGACATTGTGATTTAAATAATACCAACGAAAATAATACGAAACCAATACCGAAACCGAAACACTTGGCAAAACCGAAACCCAAACCGGAACGTTATTTTGAATCGGTTTCATTCCTTGCATTTTTAACAAAAACTTTATATGCGTGGCATGCGGCCCATAACCTGTTGGATCTGAAGTAAGTTTATTCAAGAACGGAAGTATGGTACACAAAGTATATAAAAACAGGGTTGCATTTGTACTGTATGAAGAGCATGACAAACACAGGGCTATATAAGTAATTCATTTCTTCAACATAGCGGCTACAACAACCCCGCCCAGCCTCTATGGGGCCTGTCCACAGGGACAGAGCCGTTAGCTATGTGGGGTTTTGTAGGCATGCGAAGAGAGTCGTGGGATGTCTCTCCGCATGCCAGACACTCATTTGGCACATCTGCATCTAGTCTACTCAGGTATGAGTTCAACCTGCTGCAGTAGCCAGAGCCAAGTGGGGCTATTGTGGTCCGAGTCTCCCGAGGCAGATGAAGCTCCGTCTCGTCCACGTCAGGTGGTTGTGTGCCCAAAACGGCATTCACAGGACTGGACTCTACGTAACTTGAAACTAGCTCCCGATGACGGCCTGTCGATATGCTGACGGGTCCAGAGGTTGCTTTATGATCCTCTGGACTTCGTCCATCAGTTCGTATAGATGCCTTCTGCCATCTCCGAAGGCTCCTCTGCAAGGAAGTGGCTGTCCACGTCCTTGGCTCCCTACTAAGAATTGTGTTGTGCTCCCTTATGGGGAGCATTTGCGCTTCGCAATGTAGGTGATGTTCTGGCGATATCACAACACATCCAGTCGCTGTCCGAAGTACTGTGTTCTGCGTTGTCTGCAGCTTCATCCACTGCGTCCTACTGGTCCCCGGAGACCACACTGGCGCTGCGTAATTTAGAACCGGCCGGCCAATTGCCTTTTATGTTGCCACCAACGTTTCTTTGTATTTATCCCCAAGTACTGCCGACTACCGACTTGAGGACCTTGTTGCGGCTCTGTACAAACGCCTTTGACAGATAAAACGCTACTCAAATAGTTCTCTCACAGGGGCGGTTGCGGTTTAGGCCACGTGTTATCTGAGGGTTTATTGCGTTAAGTGCTGTTGTTGTGCTGTGCACTTTACGGAAGCCATGCTGATGCTTCCCTGGGGTCAGGTAGTAGATGAAGTACGGGAGTAGCGGAACACCACTAATATTTCCTGCAAACACACATCGATTTACATCTTTTGTCTCGCTGTCAATTTCTTACTCGCTCGTTTTTAGGCACGCCATTGTTACGAATTTCGAAAGTTCGAAAATACGATTCGGATTGCAGCATACTATTTCTACGATTCGTAGCCAAATCCGAATACGGAAGAGTTGCATAATAGGGGTATAAGCTCCTAGAAGTGAAGAAGCGAGAAAGGCAGGAGAGATAGCTGTTTACTTTTGAACAGTGGTCATCAATTCCATTCCCAGACGCCAATATCGAGCAGTCGTCAGCGCATGAGATTAGGGAAACTCCCTTAAGTTGCTGGGGAGCTTCGAGATGTAGAAGTTGAATAGTAAGAGGGAGAGGACACCACCTTGTGGAACCCCTTATTTTATTCTTCTAGGTTTCGAGGTTTGATCTCGGAAGATTACTGACGACTGTCGACCACTCATATAATCCGCCGACCACCGTTTGAGTCCCTGTGGGAGAGAGGAGGCTTTAATGTCTTCTAGCGGCGTGGAATGGCAGACGGTGTCGAACGCCTTTGACAAGTCCAATGCTCCTAGGATTGTTCTCTCACAGAGACGGTTACGGTTTACGCCACGAGTTATTTGGGTGTTTATGGCGTTAAGTGCTGTTGTTGTGCTGTACACTTTACGGAAACCATGCTAATGCTTCGCTGGGGTTAGGTGGTTCGCAAAATACGGGAGTAGAAAGGCCTCTAGTGTCTGTGCTACAGGGAAAAGAGTGTTATCGGGCGAGAAGACTCTCCTTTGTTGGCTAGTTTCCCCGGTTTGAACAGTGGGACCCTCTCCCAATCTTCCAGATGTCTGGTATGACGAGAATGGCCTTTGACAGGTTGAGAAACTTGGCTAAATAGTCTATTCGTGGGTTTGGAGGCTTTCGCCTTCCCGATGGCTTCCTGATCTACACCGCAAGTGAAAACAAGAGGCGCACTAGTTGTTGGCAGTTTGTGCAGCCTTCTGGTCACTCGACGTTTGAGTTTGTCCGCCGGTGGATGCAGTGTAAATTGCCACAGATCGTGGTGCGCATTAAAGCCACCAAATTCCATACGGGTTTCACATCTGAGGAGCGCAGACTCTGAGGTGACTCCACCCATTGCAAGCATTACACTTGACTGAGGAGGAGTTGTGGTGTAGTCGTCTCTTTACAGAGCAGGTGTAAGTTTCTGGCCCAGGGTTTGACTCAATGCCAGCCCTGAACAGAAGAATACGTAGCCGATGTAGCCCTATAGACGAACAACGTCTGAGATATTTCACCGACCTAAACGGGGTTAGATCGCCGAAACAACAGCGCTGGGTCGGGTAAAACCCGAGTCATTCCGGTTCGTAGAACCGACTGTCTTGGGAATGTACGTGACCCGGTGCTAGTGTTAAGTGAAAAAACTGCTTTATTATGAAGTGTTGATGAGAAATTGCTTAGGGAAATTTGTATTTTTTTATATACGTACTTGATAAATATTTAAATAAGTACATATTCCGCAAATACCTTTCAAAATTATTTTGTATATAAATACCATTAAACTAATCACATGTTTCTTGCTAGATACCAACAGAATTTCTTAAGTAGCTAAATGGAAATTTTATCAGAGTTGAGCATTGCTTTGCCGCTCGTTTGCGAAGAAATTAAAGTATTAGTGCTCCGTTGCGAGTGGTCTAACATAAACGGAAAAAATGGAGCTAAAATTTGTAGATTTTTCGATAATTATAAAATAAGTACCTATCATCAATAAAATAACTTGATAAGCAACACTAATACCTGTATAGTAAATAAAAATAAATTACTTATATCATTAAGAATATTATATTATATTTCTCCGTTTTTATTGTTTTCTATTTTCTAGATCATTATATATATATTTTACATTTTATAAAGTATAATTGTTTCAATTTAAATAATGCATTTACAACAATTGAGATACTAATTTATAAGCATATTAAGATAACAAGTGAATACGCTATACTAAAACTTTTATTTTCTACTAATTTCGTAATAAAAACTAAAATTCATAATGAACTTGTTTGCTGAATTTCATGTTTAATGCTAGGGCTGTATAGAGATACTTTTAGCTTATTTAATATGCCAAGCAAACAAATCAACTTTATATAGAATAATGATTCCCAAGGTAGACGCAATTTAAATTTAGTTACGCCGAGTTTTCAGTGGTTTTAATTGTGCACCGTTGTTGAGGAATGTTGCATATTTTTTTCAAATTCTTCTAAACTTAATGTTTGATTCATATTGAGCAGTGGCAGTTTTCCTGCAGATGCTTGTGCCAGTAATTCAGGCGAAAACCACTGTGCCAATTGATTACTAGTAGGAGACAAGCAGCCATCTCGATAATTTATTATATTTACAGCAGCGGCAGCCGCAGTATCTGCAGCATTATTTGATACAATACTACTTTCACCTACCAAAGATGATGACAAACACACTATGAAAAATTTAAATTTGTAAGTCAGTTGGAATAAAAAGTAATGTAGTTAAAACGTACTGTTGTCAATTGACTGTTGCTGCTGATGTTGTTGTTGCTGCTGTTTTTGCAACTGCTGCTGCAGGTGAACTTGTTGTTGCTGATGCCTTTGCAATGCTAGAGCACGTTGTTGATGTTGATATAAATGCTGCTGCTGTTGTTGTACATGTGTTATTATATTGGTATGGCTTGATGCTTGTTGGGGCGCTATTGTGTGCTGCGGAAACGGAGGTGTAGTCTGGCTTAAAACATGCGATTGATTGTTTTTTAATCGCTGTTGCATTTGTTGAAAATCTAATTTATTGAACATCAGTTGAGATATCTGCTGCTGCATTTGCTGTTGTGACTGATGCTGCTGGCTAGATGGTGGTGGCGGCAATGGGCCTTTTAAAATTGGACGCCCTATAAAGATACAGTAATAAACAATTGTTAATCAGGATTAACGACAAAATCGATTCGATTTAAATGAGGCTCAAGAGATATTTGTTTCTTATATTCGTGGGTTCAAGGTCCCATGGCAAGCAAACACCTTTTTTTAATAAATAGTTGAAATAAAACAACGAGATACAATTTTATAAAATAGCAGAATATGAAATAAAACAACACAAAATAGTAATATAAATTGAGTATACATATATAGTAATAAAACAATAAAATAAACAATTAAATGATCTGTAAACAAAGTATAAAAATAGTAAGTGAAGCAAGAATCGATCTATTACTAAAATGTGTATTTATGGTCCGATTTGGTTTATATTTGAAACATATATGTATTTCTAAAAATCTAATATATTTTTTGATTTGGTTCATTATTAAGTTAGTATTCGAAAAGGGCACATGTCTGAAAATTTAAAGTATTGAAGAAAAAAGCTAATTATTTGCAAGTTGTACCCTTTTCAAAATTATTCGGTACTTGCCATGACGTAACTAGCAGAATTGATATAAAGGTTTACCGTTTTCAGGCTTAATATATACCTAGAATCATTTCAATTGTCCCTTCTCTAAACTGCATATTATATATAGATGTGGCGGTGAATTACAACATATGGATGAAGTATTTATAAGATTCTTATATGCGATAGGATAAACCGCTATAACATGGGTCAAACAAGCCTGACCTAAACCCGATAGCAGAAACCAGTTAAGCCTAGGCCGAACTAGTAGATCCTAGTATGAATATTTAAAGATCAGCGCGCTTCAAATAAGTCACCTTCATCAGTCCAACTCTGGCTATGCAGTCAACATTATTGTTGCGTGCAACTTGTTTCCGCATTGGCAGCCATTGGCCTCGCCTAAAAAAACATAACACTCATCAGTCCAACTCCGGCTATGCGGTGTATAGTATTGTTGCGTCCGACTTGTTTCTGCGTTGTTCCAGGTTTGGCAGCCTTTGTCCGCGCTTAAAAAACAAATTATCCTCAGTGCACAGTATTGTTGTGATCAGCTTGTTTCTGCGTTGGTAGCCTTCGCCCGCTCTTCAAAAGATAACCCTCATCAGTTCAACTCCGGGTACGCAGTCCATAGTATTGTTACGTCCAACTTCTATCCAAGCTGGAGGCCTTCGGCTTCGATTCGCCCTTCGCTTCAAAAAAAAACCCCCCTTAGCAGTCCAACTCTAGCTACTCAGCCACAGTATTGTTGCGCCTAATGTGTTTACGCGATGGCGGTCTTGGGCCGCGCTTTAGAAATTCACTTCTGAATCGTTGCGGCATCATATGCAGCAGATATTAGTTTAAAAATATTGTTATTAATAAAAGGATCTAATGTTGTATGAAACAATACCAAATAGCCTATCAAAGGATGTGAAGATTATACTGTTTTTGAAATATTTATTTTGGCCGTTAGAAAATTTATATATTTTAATTTGACCACTTACCATCTCAAGAATGGACACTTGTTGGTCTAAACTTCATATAGGAGGAATATTGCCAGTTTTCTTTTATATAAAAGTGTATATATTGTTATTTCCGCTTACGCTGATTATTTAAGAAATATTGGTCTTTAAAGTCATGTATAATTTTTTGTTAAATTTTTTGACTTTAGTTCAAAACCGCATGGCTTTTTCCTACTACAGATTTTTTTTTAAACCTTATTTTTTGTCCCCGAGCTATCCGAAAACGGGGAAAAAATTTAACACCTTTGCAAATCCCATACATTTTTTGGGCGCTCTAATGCCTATACTTATATAAACTAGACAATGAACTAAAAATACTTTACAAAGTATTAAAATTTGCAATTACCGGTACATGAATTGAACATAAAAATTCCGGTAACGGATCATTTTTTCCCAAATTTTTCTCTAAAGTTGTCTATCCTTCTCTCCTTAAATTAAAATTGGTTAGGTAAAAACAAAATCCACGCGTTCAGAAAAAGGATTTTCTTCTAATTAATTTTTGAATTCTTTAGACGAGATCCAAGAGCTTATGGTGGAGCATTTATTTTAACGTGGATACGAATGTATGCTTTTCCACTGCGTTTCGAAATTTGTAATTTAATCAACGCTTAAGTTTTGGCGTTCCTTTTCTAACGTGGCCGCTTGAGAGAGAATACACCGTCTGAGTTTATTGGAGCTCGAATTACTGCCCGGTATAGTTTGTGCGCTCTCGCACGTGGTAGAAACCAATAGTTTTACTTGCCCATTTTGCATTTGCTTACGCGCCATTTGCATTAGAAATGGAACTGGAAATATTAATCGAAATAGTATGACAGGAAGGTATCGAAAATAGCCTGAGATCACCAAAGCCAAATAAATTTTAGCCAACACTTGTACAATGAAATTACAGATTTTTTTAAATTTAAATATATTTCCAGCCTCGGCAAGATGGGACGACATGCTGGAGACCTTGGAACGGTCATTCAAGGTTCCAACATACTTGCTAGATATGATCCGGGACTACCTCAGAGACCGTTGGCTTTTGTACGACACAACACAAGATCAGAGAAAGAGACGTATAACCGGCGGAGCGGCACTGGGGTCTGTACTTGGCCCGGACCTCTGGAACGCCACGTATGACAGTCTGTTGCGCACGGAAATGCCGGAGAGCGCCTTCCTTGTCGCCTTCGCGGACGACGTGGCCGCCGTCATAACAACAAAAAACGTCCAGCTAGCGCAGCTCAAGCTAAACCAGGTCATGCGCAACCTCAGTGGATGGATGAGCGATCACGGTCTGCAATTGGCTACAGCCAAAACAGAGATCGTGCTCCTCACAAGGAAACGGATCCCAAAAATTATAAACATGATGGTCGGACCTCAATTCGCGACAACTTCTAGGTCTACAAAATACCTAGGGGTGAAGCTTGACAGCAAAATCACATTCTGGGAACACATCCATGGAGCATGTGATGGCGAACGTGGGCGGCCCGAAGGCATGCCGCAGGAAGCTTCTGATGAAAGCAGTCCAGTCGGTGCTCCTGTACGGGGCAGAAATATGGACCGACGCATTGAAAGTCAAAAAATACCGGATTCAAATGTCTTCGGTACAGCGCAGAGGCTGCTGATGCGTTTCACATCATCGGCATACATTAAGGTTTTAGAATATTTTATTATAGAAGAATAATCATTAATGAATATCAGGAATAGAATCGGACCAAGGTGGCTTCCCTGAGGAACTCCTGAAGAAACCTTAATGATGTTGGAAGAACAATTAAAAAAAAAAAACTCTTTGTGTTCGGAGAGGTAAGAAGAGATCCATTGAAGAAGACTGGGCTGAAAGCCGATTAGGTCGAGTTTACGGATGAGTAACGAGTGACAGACTTTGTCGAAAGCTTTACTGAAATCGGTGTATATTACGTCGGTATGAGCATTTTCTCTAAAACCGTTTAAGAGATAAATTGTAAACTTCAATAAATTAGTGATAATAGATTTTCCTTTAAAAAACCCGTGCTGATATTGTGAATTGAGGATGTAGAATATGTCAGCTGATTAACAATAATTGCTTCGAATAATTTGGGGATAGCGGAGAGCTTCACTATGCCTCGATAGGTCTTCTATAGACCTGCTGCCGTTTTTGTGAGGTGGTATTATGAGAGACTCCTTCCAAGCTGACGGAAAAACACCATGTTTTAGTGACAAGTTGAATAGAGTTGTTGAAGGTTTACAGATATTCTCACCGCAGTTTTTAAGGAAACAGGTCGGAATATGACCAGGTCCAGGCCTAAATGACGCTTTTAAGGTTTTTAATAGTGTAAAACTTCATCAGAAGAAGTTACTGGAATAAAAGCTGAGTTAATCGTACAAAGTTCATACGGATAGTATCCACTCGTAGGGGAGTCTACCGAATAATTGGACCTAAAGAACTGAGCAAACATGTTGGCAATGAGTTGGCTGTCGCTAGACATAGTATTGCGATAGTGCATAGCGGACGGAAATCCATGTGCCTTACGCTTTAAATTTACGAAACCATAAAATGATTTAGGATTTTTAATCAAATTCTTTTTAATTTTACACAAATATAACTTATAACATTTCTTATTTAATGCAAAGTAGCTATACCTCAAAACCGAGTACTTTATGTAATCACCGAGTAAGCCCCTTCTTTTATACAGTTTAAGTGAACCATAATTGTGTTGGTTCTTTATGAACAATATTACGTTTTGATACTTTCAAAACAAATTGAAAACAGTATAATTAAAGTGTTCAACGCTACGCTCGTCGTCATCTCTATATATTGGCCAAGATATCTTTGAAAGTTCTTTGTTAATTTTTCTGAAATTAGTTTTCGCAAACACATATCTAGTACTTGAACTATAGAACTTATTATTATGTACTGCATTTATGATTTCGTAGCTTAACTCAAGAGCGAGATGGTATGCATCCTCTGGCAAAACTAAGGGATCACACCGATTAATAGAGGACCTCGGAACATCATCAACGTAAACGAGATCCAAGACCTTATTTATATTTATTTGTTTTAGGTAAAGTTCAGCCATTTCCTCCACAAATACATTGTAACTATCTCTAGATGAAACTGGTACAACATCGGTGCCAATAATGTTCCATGAAATGTGTGGCAGATTAAAATCACCCAAAACAATCACAGAGTCAGAAGGCGTAAGCATTGCATTTACGGACTCAAGTAAAGAAACTAGCTGTGTATATAATGATATGGCAGAATTAGGAGGGATGTAGCAAAGAGTTCAATTAACCTAACTCTTACCAGCCTGTACACGCCCTCATTTAAATTCGGTATCTTCAATGACAGGAACACTAACTTCCTCTGATGGTATCGACCAATGCACCGCAAAAATAACACCACCGCCGATTCTGCTGTAGTGTGCCTGACATATATCAAATACTTGTGGCTCATATTGCTGAGTCGGCTTATTTGTTGGGACGATCGAGTGTGAATTGATGACACATGCAGAACACTCGTAATGGCTTGCACTGTGGCTTAACGTGCGGC